CTAAAGACATTATCTACAACTTATCTACAACTAAAGCTGCAAAAAAAACCCTTATGGCTTCCTGGCCTAGTAAAGGAACGCGTTGAGCAAGGTGGAGTTCAGTTGTATTGTGACAGTCAGAGTGCTATTTATCTGGCTAAGAACCATGTGTATCATGCGAGAATTAAGCACATTGATGTCAGATATCACAGGGTTAGAAAATCGATTGCTTCTAGTGATATACTGTTGCAAAAGGTTCATATTAATGAAAATGCAGCTGATATGTTGACCGAGCCAGTTACTATCAACAAGTTCTTGCATTGTTTGAACTTGCTGAATGTTTGCAGCTGTTAGAGAAGCGCGGTGACCCAACCCACTTATGGTGTGTAAGAAACTCCATGACATATTTTTCCTAAGGGGCTGGATATTCACCAAGGTGGAGATTTGTTTGGTATGACTCATATGATGTTGGAGCGGAGCAGAGCGGGGCGGAAGATTTTGTCTAAATCAGAGAAGTTTCCTTATGTTGGTTGGGGTGAGGTACATGGGTAATTTGGTAATTATATATTGTACTCCAGTGTTTTCTAGGTTTATAAATGAATTTGTATGTAACCCTAGGTGTTATATCATATTATGTATCCTATACTATTTTCTGAATATTGAAAAAAAGTCGTCGCTCTGCTCCCGAGGACGTATGCATCTATGTTGAACCTTGTTAAATCTCTTTGTGTTCTTCTAGATTTGTGATAATTCCTGTTTTTTATCTTCACCCTAATTTCTCAACAAACCATATGATCTTAATCGGGTTCGTCCTCATTTACCCACTATCCACTTTCAATTCCACGTGATAAATATTAAAATTTAAAACCACATGTTTGCTGTTGCGATATGTTGAATATTCAATGCCTAATGACTAACATTAATCGTAAGTGCTATCCCATTATCAATAGGGGGTAATAACCATAACGGCTTGTGTCGGTAAGAAACCTCTAGCCCCATATCAAAAAGTCTTCACAAACTGAGGGCAAAATCTTTGGGTAGCTTCAATCAAATATGCCTTCTTAAATGTTGATTCAACGAAACTATCGACAAAATAGAGTACGAGAGACTGAGAAGTCAAAATTTTTATAGCCTGCAAATTTATGGTGACTCCATCAATAATATAACTTTTAGTGGCTTATTATTCTAAAATCGATCTAAAAAAACCAAACAAGGTGCATCAAAAATTTTGAGCCCCACACTGACATGTTGCCCGGAGCCTCGAGCGTTGACATTGATTACCGTTTTATCGTAATTCAATCGCCGCCCTTGCATCTCAATCAATTTTTCCTCTAACTCATTTATTCTCCTCTTGATCATTTAATGCAACTGTTTGATTGCTCCTAAGACTCAGTTTGGTACTTATAAGGGGCACGAGGTCGTGTGAGAGGTGGGGAGTGTGGAACGAGAACTTTGTTGAATGTCCTCGTTAAACTCCGTGCAAATTATCACATTCTCTCAATCTCAAAAGAATTTTGTCTTCAAAATTCAATTCAATCATATAAATTGTAATAAATAATTCTTACACTCATGTTAAAAGTCTAAGGCCCCATTTGGGGCAGCTTATTCGTGTGGTGGGCGTTTTGAAAACGCCTCATTCGAGTTTGTTTCGCACGTATCTCTCGCGATACAAAATCGTTAAACGCCCTTCGAACCCTACTTTATGCGTTACGTTTGAGCGTGTTACCCTCCAGCCCCTCGATCAATCTCATCCTTGATATCGTGCCATTCACTTCTTATCTCTAATCTCTCACCCTTATCTCAAGATTTTCCCTAAAGCCGACCCGGTCGCGGTCCAAAGCGGAGATAAAAGCCTGCTCCAGGTGAGGCTCGAAGCTGGCTCCAGGCAGAGATCGAAGGTTTCCTTCAAACAACAGTTCCTCGCTCCAGGTTAGGAATGAAGCCGACTCCAGGTAAGAGGGTTAAAACATTCCTTCATCTTTTCTCCTCTCAACACCTTCCCCGTCCACTGACGACATTTTTTGTCCTCTTGACTAAGACGAAAGGCTCCAGGGAGTAGAGGATCCAAGATCTCCTTCAGCCCTTCTTTTCTCAACACCCTACCTGTCCATTGTAAGCATTTTTGGTGGAGTGAAAAATCGTTTCTTTGTCTAGATGTATCATTTCTTGTTCATTTATGAAGTTAACATGTACATATTTGGTATAGATTGTTGTATGAGCAAGATTATAAACTTGCAGAAATTTATGAGTATTTTTTTTAAGTTTTCTTCAATTTATGCTATCTAAAAGGGGTTGTTTCAGGAATTCTATAAAGGCTATCTGATCTATTCCCTATGAAATTTCAATTGAAAAACATGGATCTATGCATGCAGATTTCCAAAATCGTAAATATGACACTAGAATCCAAATATTACACTTGCACATACTACAAATCCCTATGATGTTTGTGCAACTAGTATTATATGTATGATATTGAAAGTTTGAGATATTTGTTTTATAACTAAACTATAATAGTTTGAAACATCTGTTTTGTAATTGAACTGTAATAGTTTGAGGCATCTGTTTTATCTATTATTTTTCATATATAGTTTTGTTGCAAACAACTTAACCAAACAGAGACTGAATGTCATTTATCCAACAACAACTCATAGTAAACTGTTTTGAATAAACTACCTCGAACAACAAACAAACTTATTCCGATAATCTGCAGATTATCAAAATAATATGATTATCAACAAATTATAAATAATCAACAGCTACCCCAAACATACTCTAAAACATATATTTCATTGTGATAGAAGTTGAAATCATCAAGTGCCACTTAAGCTATCATAATGGAAAAATTAATTGGTAAAAGAGAGATCAGAAGTGGTGCCACACTTTTTGTGACTAATACAAAAATGAGAGGTTCGGCTCAACCCTTACACATACATTAAAAAAAAGAGAATTCTCATTATGAGAAATCTCATTCAACAAACAATCATAACAACTCTAAAGCCCCATATGAGAACGATTATCTACTCTGCCATGCTGCAGAGAACAACACATAATCCTTCGCTCATGTTTGGTTCAACCACAACTTTGCGAGTTTTATCGACCATATAGAAATATCACTAAATTCTCATGTATTTACATGTCTAGCAACTACACTTTATTTTTTATATTTGTACCAACCAAATCTTTCGTATCAATCAAAAGAACCATCATTTTGATTTTTAAAAAGTGAACTACACATTTTAGTGCAAAGTTAACGGGTTCTGTACGTAAACTTAAGACTTAGGTGTTAGATATGTAAATACATAAGAATGAAGTGATAATATAGGTAAATCTTAATTATATTTATAAAATGATAATGTTATAAATTTATATAAGAAAACATTATTTTTTTAAATATAAATTATAATGATATTTTTTATGCCAAAAAAATGGATGCCATACTTGTAAAAATTTAATGGTTATCATTTTGGCATGAAATTAAAGATGCGAGCGCTACATATTTAGGGCTGTAAGAAAAATTTATTGTTCGCAAACACCTCATGTTCGGCTCGTTAAATAACTCGTGTTCAATTCATTCATTAAACAAATAGACCAAACACAAACAAATATTTGTTTGAACACAAATAAATATTTGTTCATCTGAATTCTATTTTTTTTGGCTAAAAAATAATTAAATAACAATATAAATTTATGTATTTTTTATCAATATTTATATGTATTAAAAATTGTTAAACTTTATTATTTATAAAAATTATTTGGATGGTGAAATTATGAAATATATAAATTTAGGTGAGAAATATGGATAAGCGGAATTTGGGTGGCATGTATGTAAAAGTGCCTAAAATTCATATGTAAATACTTTAGGAAGCATAAGAGCCGGGGGATTCTGTTTTTCCCCAAAAATCGGTGTGCCGCAGCGAACTTAGCTTTGCCGATGAGGTACAAATAAAATCAGGTGGTATTATGCTTCCGATGTTCCGCATGTACTGCCGCGCAAATTAGTCCCACATCGCCTACAAACCGAAGAACTCTCATTACAAATCTGCTTTAAATTTAGAAGTGATAACCTAAAATTTGGGTTTTTTTTTTAAATACTTTTTTTTTGTTTTAATCTTTAATTTTTAGTATCAGTTTTATTTTTATGTTAATTTTTTACTTAAATTTTTAAAAGATGCATTCGGTACTTTTAATATTAAAAAAAATATTTTGTAGGTTTTTTTTAGAGTACTCTAGTATTAAGCTTCATCTTTTTTTTTAATTTTAAAAATAAAAAATAAGAAATAAAAATTGATCCCAAACAACTACTAAGTTTTCATTTACACCATCATGGAATGGGGATGAAATAATATTTTTTAAAAAAATATTATTGCTTCAATATATTAGAATGAATATAATATACAAATTTGATTGTAGCTCAAAATTCTACAGAACAAGAACTAATTTGAACAAATTCGAATTTGGGTTGAGTTTAACATCAATTTAACTTTTACAAATTTATTTTGATAAAAAAATTAAATAAGCCCAACACGAATATATTGTAATCTCACTCGGCTTGTTTACAGCCCCCAACACGGAGAAAAATTTGCGTGCGTAAGATGTACCCAGTGCTGCGCACATAATGAATATTACATTCACGTTATATCCACATTATATCTGTGTTATATCACCTGTAACCTAGAATCAACCTCCATATAACTTACTTGTAACCTACATGAACTTACAAATAAGTTCCGTACTTCTGTTTTCACATATCTATAGGTTACATTAAAATTACATAAATGTTACATGAGATATAATACGAATATAATATTGATATAATGCAAATATTACCTCTATTATATATGCAGCTTAGGTATGCAAATTTTTTCCTGTCAATAAGAAAGTGTAGATGCGAGATATCAACACATAAAGAATTGCGAGTCATGTATGTAAATGACCAAAAAAAAATGTTAGATAAAGTAAATGAGTTGTGGGGCCCGCCATATATTTACACTGGTTTTCACAATAATTGATCTTCGCCGCGCCGGGCAGCGTGAGCGGCCCGAGTAAAACCCTATAAAGCCTAAACCTGGCCGGGGCTTCAGAATCTTTTTGGCTTACTTCTCCCACCTTCTTCTTAGCCTTTCAGTACCCACACCGCCGTCATCAGTGTGTCTCCATCCTCTCATTCCCCATTCTCCAAGTTCCCACAGCCAGACTATTAACTCTTTTCACATACAATTCTATCGAGCTTCAAGCACCGGAGATACAGCGGACCTCCAGTTCCTCATGGAGCTGCTTCGATCACATCTTTCTAGGGTTCGAATACCCGAGCCCACTAACCGCATATACAAGAACGAGTGCTGTGTATCTTTTGACACGCCGGTGATTTTCGTGAACCCATTCTACAGGTCTGATGTAGATTTCCTACCTTCCTTTCTCAACAAATGGTTATTCTGTTTATCAGAAGTCGGAGGGGGGTTTGTACGTGGACTTGAGCACGTTTCTAGCTTTTGGGAAGGAGTATGTGTTCTGGAACTATGAGAAGACCGGTAATCCTGTTTATCTACATATCCAGCAGAGGATGAAGCCTGTTCCCGAGGACCGTCCACTCAAGAAACCCACTCTTCTGGCTATTGGTTAGTTAGTGTATTACTTTTTCGATTCATCTGTAAAGTGCTTTACATTCGACTCGTCCGTAATCCTGTTTTATGAACTGTACGCACTGCTAAATGGTGCAAATTAAAGATAAGTGATTTATATTCATTTTTTATTGCAATTATTTCCTTAAAGTTTTTACTGCTTGTATCCTAAGCTAATTTGACTGCTTAACGCTCCTTTTCTTACTGGGTTACCTGGAACATAGAACTCTCAGTTTCTTGTGACCTCAACTGCTTGTATCTGTAAACCTTTATCAGAATGTTTGTATCATTAATTATCCAAAAAGTTGCAAGGACTTGAAATAAACTTGTGATTATAATTGTTTTCATTTCTTGAGATTCAGAATCATCTCCATGGATGCAGTTTCTCATTTAAAAACTTGTTTCCTAGCTCCTGTTTTTATGAAGATGATGGATATTATCTGATTTTAACCATAGAAATAACAATATTATTGTATTTTGTGGTTCTTATATGTGCATAAAATGCTATAAGGAGGTTTATAATCTAAGCTTTAGCGTGAAAAGAAAATTTCACATCAGAAACAAACTTCTGTACATCGTTTTTTTTATAAGAACGATATAGCTATCCAAAACTTAACTGCAGTTGAAAAAACAAATGTTATCTGGACCCAGTTCAGATAACAAAACCAATGAACACTGAGGGCCTAGGTTATATTAATATTATAAAAGGAAGGAATATGAAAGAATGCCGTGACAACATGGAAATGATAAGAAGATAAATAAATGAATAAAAATGTATAAAAGATTGACCTTGGCATGGGTTGGGGGGGGGGGGGGGGAGACACGAAGCATGGTTTTAGGGAAACAAATGAGCTTGAATATTAATTGGTCAAAGTTGCATTGTATCACAATCATCAATGTAAGTTTACTGAAGTCCTTTTCTTGTACAACAATCTGCACAAATTCAACTAAAATATATTGTGTTGATGGTATAAATAGTTAAGTCGGGTTGGTACAAAAGTTTGAAATGTAGCTGGAAAGTAATAAATTGGAACTAATGAAATAAGTATATTGCCAGCATCTTTAAAAGAAATTTTGGCATACTTTAACTTATAGAATGTATTTTTTTGATGGCTGATAGAAAAGCATGAGAAGGAAATGTAGTGGAAAAGCGATAAAACAAATGCTCAAGCATGGTTATGATGATTGGAGAAGCAAACAAGGATTGACCCTTCAATATATTAAATTAAAGACAAAAATCTATGATTTTTATGAATTTTATCACTGTTTCACTAAACATAAATGGTAATTTTATTTATTTTTTTTGTGAAACACTATAAGGGTAGACTTGAAACAATGGTTACCAACACTATAAGGGTAGACTTGAAACAATGGTTACCAATATCGTATTACCCCCACCTCCACTTATAGCTAAACCCCTTTTATGTTATATATAGTTTGTAAACTTTGCACACCACTGACACTTTCAGTTTTGTGCATTTTAGTAAGTTTTTATTTTTTGCTCAACTCACTTCCTGTTAACTTTTGCTTTCTGCTTTGATGGTTAGGTTTGCTCATATTCAGAGTTCATGGGTTTGTGTCACATAAATACTCTTTTTGTAATGTAGGGGTAAGACTCTGTACATCAACCTTTCTAGATCTCAAAATTACAGGAAACCTCATTCATTGGATATGTTATCTATGAGGACAAACCTAGTGCAATTATTTCGTTGCTTCCATTTTGATTGGAAGTTTGTAGGTTTAAATCACGAACAACCTTCTTGCAATGCAGGGGGAGGGTTGCATACATCAGTACGTCATAACATTTCACATTTATGGGTTGCAGTACGTCCCATTTACCACATAGGGAACATAGAAGGATGAATGATGGAAAACTGGCTTGGAAGGGAGGGGGTTGAGAGATTCGATGAAATGAAGCTTCTTAGGAAAAGGGAAAATAATATGGAAATTTAGAGCTTACTATGCAAAAAACTCAGTACTCATTGACATAATCCATAAAAACTAGCAGGCCAGTGAAAGAGGAATTTAGGTGAAATGAATCTGAAAAAAACCTTGTTAGGTAGAGGGAAAATAATATGGGAATTTAGAGCTTACTATGCAAGAAACTCTATACTCATTGTGATAATCCATAAAAACTAGCAGGCTAGTGATTGAGTGTAGAGTATGAATGGTGTGAAGTTGTTTAGAGCCGTTAAATATGGAGTTTAAAAGCTTTAATGTTTTGATTAAATTGTATTATGAGATTGAAGTCTCACATTTCTAATTGTTTGATATATCTGTGTGGGTTTTAGTCCCAGGCCCTTGAACCTTTTTAGGCTCGTACTCAACCTAATCTCTCGAAAGAACAAGGCATAGTGCATTTCTTGTACTGTAGTCAACATTCTCTTTCTTTATAGGCTTCATTTATTAATTATTTGTAGCTGCATTACTTCTTTTTTAAATATGAAATGTCAGAATTTTTATTCTAACACATGCAAATCTGAAATAGGAAGAAAATCACTATTGAGCATGAATAGTTCGTCTTTTACATTAGTTTATCCATCTTAGTGAGGATATCATTGAATTTATCCTTATGGAAAAAGCACAACACAAATTATCAAACAAATACTTATGAGGTGCTTTGTTTTGCTTCTTCTAGAATAAGTTGATCATTTATGAAAGTATTGGTTAGCAAAGGAAATTACAAAGTCTAACAAGATAGTACATTTTGATGCATTCATGAAAATGTTATTTAGTAGGTAAATTATTATGATGAAGATAAATAATTTATGATTTTATGCTTTAGTTGCAGTGTAAAATTAATTTTTGAAGTATTAATTGTATGCCCTTGATTAAATATTTGTTATGTCAATACCTAAGGACAATATAGTCTTTTATTATTCATTATTGCTTAATATAAATAGGGCTATTAAGTTTAGGGTTGAGGTTATGCATGAGATTGTATTCTTGAGTTTTAGGGTTAGGGTTTGGGAGAGATTTCTCACCACTCGAATTGTAGGATTTGAGAGAGATCGCCTTACATCTCGAATTTTAGGTGCTTATCTTTTATGTATTCACGGGAGCTGTGTGGTATTGTATTGCTTTGATTTGAGTTTGGCGAAGTACAAATATTTTGTGCCCTAATTTTTGTGGAAAATTATCTTGATTTGTTTCAATATCTTCTACAACTAGATGAGGATTATCCATGTGCACTTGATTAAATATCTTTTGCATCTAGTTGGATCAGCTATATCATTTGTAATTGATGCTAATATTTCTAACACCACTGCTTTTGTGCTAGTGGAGGATTGTAGCTTTTATTATGCGTGTTGTGTTTTTTGATCATGTCTAATTTTTACATTTTGGTTTCAAACTTTTATTAATTTTTCGCAATTTAGAACTTATAAATATCTGATTGAGAAAGTCGTCTTAGATGGTTTGGTCACATTAAACGTCGACCATCTGATGATCTGATTAGAAGAGTAGATGTTTTACATTCAACTTGTGTTAAGAAAGACAGAGGTAGACCTAGGAAGACTTGGGCTTATTGTACAAAAAATGATCTTAATTTACTAGAACTAAATGAAAATATGACACTAAATAGGACGCAATGGAGAAAAATGATTCATCTAGCCGACCCCACGTAGTGGGATTAAGGTTTTGTTGTTGTTGTTGTAGAACGTATAAATATCTAGCCTCTTAAACAGTTTGGAGTTGGAACAAAGCTCCAAATTCATTTTCTCTTGTTTCTCTTATTTATATTATTGCATTTGAACCATTGTTATAAGTTGTCTCTCATTGATGAAATTTTTTTGAGAATACCTTTATTTGCTTTACAAATATTAGAGCAAAGAATTACTCGCTCGCTTCCATAATGCAATCACCATTTCCTTGCATGTCCAAAGTGATTGGTCTCTATAGGTAGAAAAACACTTGGCGTCACCTCTCCTATGTCTGCAATATACCTCTCTAACTCTATACACACCCAATCCTATACTTCAATTTTGCTTCTTGCCATCCTAGAGCTGTTATTTTTTTTGCAAGTTGCCACACCATAACTTCTTCTTGTTTCACTCTCGTTTGATCCCTTTTTAATCTAACATAAGATATAATAGAGATATAAAAGCCAACCAGACATATTTTTACCACCACCCATTTTAATTTTTACTAATCAGGGTGGAACATGTAGAAATTTTGTTTACGCAAATCGTCATAAAATATTAGTATGCATTTATAATCATATATATACATCATAATTATTAATACCAGATCATAAAAAAATAACAACACCAACAAGCCTTTATCCCACTAAGTGTGGTCGGCTACATGAGTCATTTTTTTCCATTGCGTTCTATTGAGTGTCATATTTTCATGTAATTCTAATAAATTAAGATCATTTTTTATACAATATGCGTAAGTCTTTCTTGGTCCATCTTTGCCTTTCTTAACATAAGTCAAATCTAAAACATCTACTTTTCTAATCGGATCATCAGATGGTCAACGTTTAATGTGACCAAAACGTTTAATGAACGTTTAATGTGACCAAACCATCTAAGGCTACTCTCTCTAATTTATCCACCATTGGAGCTACACTAGCTCTATCACGAATATATTCATTTCGCATTTTCTCAAAGTGTCAAGCTACTCATCTACCTAAGCGTTCTCATCTCAGCAATACTTAACTATGTTTTATGTTCTCTTTTAAAGGCCAACATTTTGCGCCACAGAGCATTGTAGGTCTCACCACCATCGTATAAAATTTTCCTTTTAGTCTAAGCGATACTTTTCTATGACACAACAGGCCCAATGCATTCCTCCACTTCAACCAACCAACTTGAATTCTTCTAATAACATCCCCATCTATATCACCATCACTTTGAACAATAGACACGAGGTATCCAAAACGTTCACACTTTTTAATAATTTGATCACTCATAGTTACAACTTTGCCACTAGAGCTACTACTACTAAAACTGCATTTCATGTATTCGGTTTTAGTTATACTCAAACGAAGTCCT